ATTAATGTATGCTACGTTTCATTGTACAGAATTTATAGTATTATTGTAGGCTATGTTTCCATTGTACAGAAATTTATGGTATTAATGTATGCTACGTTTTCATTGTACAGAAATTTATGGTATTAATGTATGCTACGTTTTCATTGTACAGAATTTATGGTATTATTGTAGGCTATGTTTCCATTGCAACAGTATATTTATACAAAGTATAATCAATGTCTTAATTCTTTGAAGATAATATTTACTCTATTAATATTTACTCTATTTCACTTTTCATTTATTTGAAACCACGAAAGGTTTTCTGTGAAAGTAACAAATATATATAATAACTTCTGTATTAATCTATAAACATTATTTTTCTTAGTTAACCATTATCTACTAAAGTTGAAACATTACCAATCTTAGCCCCTCTCTGAAGAAAACAACTAACTGCAGCCAAGTTTTTACAACTAATGGCTCGGTCTAAAGGTCTCATGCCACTTAAATCCACATGTTCTACAACTGCACCTTGGTCCATCAACAATTTCACCTACAAAAACAGAAATTAATACCATGAGACTTTTACAAACACAATTAGGCATCTTTGACCTTAAAAAAAGGAAAGTCATTCCTAACTGTTTCAAAAATCAAATAATATATTTTTTATTGTATCTAAACTACTATCAACATAGATGAAATTAATTCTTTTTCATTAACATTAAAAGTGTATTTGCTAAAACTGGCCATTCTTTTCATTGTGTAAGTAAAATGAAAATATTGTTTTACAGAAACATATTTTTGCACCTCCAAACAGAACTGGGTATGAAAAAATTATAACAATGGAAGTTGCCCATGCTTAAATTCTCTAGATCCTATGACTTATTTGGTTATTAGAAATACACTGTTAACAGTATATATTCTCAAAAGTTCTTTGAACAAAATGATCTGATACTGAGTTTCTGAAACTTTTATAGTCTTTTTTTATAAAATGCACTAAATATTAAATACTGACTTCACTGTTTACACAGAAAGTGGTGAATCTTTCAAAGATTTTCTAGAAAAAAATTGTAACTAGTAGCTTACAATATTTGGGTCCCCATTGTATGCAGCCAAGTCCAGTGGGGTCCGGCCATTTTTATCAGCATGATTAATGTTGGTTCCATGGTTAAGAAGACACTGAATTGCTTGAAGTTGTCCTTTTATAGAGGCCCAAGATAGGGCAGTCATTCCATCTTTATCTGTGCTGTCAGGATTAGCACCTACAGTTTAAAAGAAATTCAAATTTTGAATCATAGCTTTACAACCATGGCTGATTTCTGTTTGTTCTAGTTTGCAGTCAGAGTAAAATGATTCAGATGTAAAAGTTCTAGGTAAACTAAATCCATTCATTCTTTTAGATTATCTTAACTGTAACAGAACTGGATAGTTACTAATTAAGGAATTGGTCACTGATATTTAAAAGACGCAAAAATTAGTAAACATTTCAATAGTCTTAACTACAAAAATACAATACCCTATAACCCTAGAACTTTTAAAAAGTGGGCCTTTCTTCTTCAGCTAAATATGAAGTTAAATATAATATACAAATGAAAATGTTGAACTAAAATGTTAACTTATTGAGTAAAAAATTTATCCCAAAACTGAACTACTCAGTAAATAAAAAAAAGCACAAGAAACTCAATGTCAAACATTAAAGTTGCTATTTTGTTCTGTACCTTTGGCTAACAGAAGCTCCAAAAGGCCTAAGTGTCCTTCCACTGCAGCTAGCATAAGAGAGGTCTTGCCAGTACTATCAGTTTGTTCTAGGGTTGCCTTGTGGCTAAGTAAAAGCTCGGCTATTTCCCAGTGGCCTTCAGCTACAGCACAAGTCAGTGGTGGCTCTCCCAGTTGATTCAAAACTGAAACAATTGCTCCTCTTCTGAGCAATGTATCACAAACTTCTTTATGACCTGCTAAACATGCTGCTGTCAAAGGTGTGTGGCCAGTGACATCATCTGAGTTGTTAATTTTGACTTCTGCCATGTCTAATAGAAATTCACAGACCTGTAAAAAATTAAGATAAGGTGCTAAAACAAGTGGAGAGAATTTATATTTATGACAAAACTACTAATGCTATCAGCTGTCATCCTTAATTTTGAGCTGTTATACCAGTGGAAGTCAGCCAGTCAACAGAACCCTACCATCCACCATCAAATTTAAGAAATTAACTGTCACTTTTATAATGCACCCACAGCTTTGTCCAGCAACAATTTTATTTTGGTGCTATTTCAAACCAGTATAACATTATTGATGCAATTTAAAATAAGCTGATCTGAAAGTGCATACTATTTACTTTCTTTATGCATGAAATTTATGTTTGTTGTGGTGTCCATTTCCATTCTTACCATTCATATTTTAGTTTAATTTATCCATAACTTTAAGCAACTTCAAAAATGACATCTCCCTCAGTTGTTATTTTATTTTTTTAAATATTACATTAAAAGACTCATAAAGTATAATTTTTTTTCTTAGATTTAAGTTTGAATTTTCTTTTCCCTTCACTTGAGGAACAGGTTAGCTCTGTCCTTTAGAGCTGATGAACCGAGTTCAAATCCATGAGATACAACAGAATATTTCTCACATTTTATTATACAAAACATAAGCTCAGACTAAAAATATTTTAATAAGATTTAGTTGTAACCAGGAATAAATAAAAGTTAAGGCAATAAACTCTTTTTAACTTAAAAGGAAACAATATTTTACTTTTGAGAAGAAACCTAAACTTAAGAGATGTGTTATTTCCATATAAATCATTGAGTGATATTTTTTATAACGCAAATTTTCAAGCAGGAAAATCGTATCCATGAAGATAAGCATTATCACAAATTTTATAATCTACAGTATGCTTTTTTTCTATGTTTATTCAATAATATAACAATGAAGAATATTTTTTTAAGATGCTTCAATAATGGACCTACTTACATGATCACATATTTATTGTGAAATATTTAAGAGAAAACACAACTATCAACATACCGCTGAATGACCACTGAAAGCTCCTGAAACAAGAGACTGTTGAGCAGCTTGGGCTAGACTAGGACCTTTAGTACTGTCTAATGGCCAGTCACACTGAACTAGGTAACTAACCACTTCTAGGTGTCCATGGGAAGCTGCATAAACTAGAGAGCACTGCCCACCTTTATCGGTTTGATTTATCTTTAAAATAAGAAAATGAATCAATATTAAGCTATTTAATATTTAATTTTTAAATACTTTACTGCTATCGTGAGTAAAAAAATACAAAATCTAAAATATCTTTTTATAGATTGCAAAGATCCTCTAATAAGTGACAGCAACAAATAATAACATTTAGATATTAATTTCAAATTCAATGCACTTGGAATGAGCCTCTCACCTTAGCACCTCTGGTCAACAAAAGACAAATAATTTCAAGGTGACCCTTTTGACTGGCTAAACAAAGAGCATCTTGGCCAAAGTCATTTGTATCACTGGGATCAGCACCAAACTCAAGTAACATTGAAACCATTTCCAATATTCCTTCATAAGCAGCAACTACAAGGAGTGGAGCATTTCCCATGTGATTTGTTCTTCCTCGTGGATTTGCCTTAGCGAGCAGAAGCAAACGACTAACCTGAAACAAACAGAAACAGGTTATTATTTGTTTTGTATGTGTGTGTGTCTAAAAGGACCAGTAACAAAAACTTCATCATATTTGTCTACAATATTGGACAATAATCAAAGTAAAAACAATGTATCTCCAATTTTATAAGTTTATTTAGTTTTGTAACTAGACTTGCCAATAAAGACAAAAATAATATATATATATATTTTCTTACATAATTATTAGTTAAAAGTTATCAAAATATTATTCCAAAACGTTATTTTGTCATATTGTAATGTATCTCTTAATTAAATCAATACAATTTCATTTTTGCATGTATCATTAACTTGTGCAAAACTGTATTCTACAGATATATTTTAGGTTTGACACTAAAAATATTTGCAAGATAAGGTTAATTGACAGAACATCTAAATAAATCAAAAAATCTTCATTGAATGTGATTATAATTAATCAATATTTCACCTTCACATTTGGACTGTAAACATTGCGTACAGACGTCAAAGCTGCTGTAATGTCATTAGTGCTTTGTTGTATCCAGTATGCCTGAAGATCACGTGGAGTCAGCTCTGGTGCTAATATGTCTCTAACAGTTGATTTGTAAATATGTGCCATAAGCATGTGATGACCTAATTCAAGACAGAGTTCAGGACTCAAAGGTACTTCCAACCGACTCAGTCGTAAACTAATCATAGCATGGCCATTCCTATTGGAGATATACATACATATGTTTAGCGAATATTCCTAATACACAAATCTGCTGAAATAGCTTAGTAAAGTGACTTATATATGCAAGAAGATGAATTTAATACAAATTATCTGTTTGATTATGAGAATAGGTGTTTTTTTATTCTTTGACAGATTGTTTAGGTAGAGTATTCATGATGAAACTAGGTTGAAAAGATGGCAACTGCCTGTTGTAGAAACACAAGTGTAAAGGACAACATTTTGAAAGTCTTCCACCTTCAGGTCCTGAAGACAAAAGATGGAAGACTTTCGAAACATTGTCCTCTAAACTTGAGTTTCTACAATGGGAAGTGTTTTTTTTACATATAACTACTAAAGTAACTTAAACCAGATAAGAAATAATGGACTTAAGTGTCTTCTTGATATAGTTGACATCACATATAGTTGTTTTATTACACTTCACATCACATAAAGAGATAACTGGATTTAATGTCTTCTTGACATACTTGACATCACATAGAAACTTCAAACTTTCATTTTCCTCTCTTCTCATTAGCCACTCTCTTAATGATGGATGTGAAAACATCAGAGAATGGTCCTGCCGAAGAACTAAGAATTGGCTTGTAATCAGCACATCCAACTTTTGACAGAATTCCTCCCAGGTGAGAGGCTGGTCTATAACTGCAGCATTGACACTATGAAACAATTCAATTGGCTTCAAAGGGAAAAGGGTTGCTAGACTGACCTGCAGTAGAGAGCTGACCTGTTGTAAAAAGATGGAAGCAGATTCTCACTCATACATCATTAGATAAAGATCGTATTCCTTTTGTATAGTTTACCTACAATAAGTTATGTTCTAAGCTTCTGTGTTTGGCAACTCTAAAATAAAAATCTCAAATAATCATCAGTGAGCTAAAGATAAAATATTATACTGATTATACAGCTAGTACCTTTCTTACTACAATTCTGTTGAACTCCATTTAGAGCAGTTCTAACATTTCAAGTAAAGGATGTTACTTCTGTAATAATAATATTCGTTAATGTCTACTTTAAAAAAATAATTTGACAAATGAAAAGCAGAAACAATACTAGTGAAACTGTAGGTTATGAACCAGATTGTTAGTTTTTTTGAAACCCACCAAAGCCTTGTGTATATCAAAAATGGTTTAAACAACTTTTCTTCATATCAAGCATTTTAATCCTGTTAGCTTACTTTAGTAAATTAGCTTATGTCAATTCAATCAAAACTGTTGAGGAAGTAAAATGAAGAAAATTAACAAAAGCAAAATTTTTTATTTTACTTCAAGTAACCTAAATTTACTTAAAATTATTATAAGTCTGTCTCAATTAAATAGTTTTTTATGTGTTTGTTATTAAACTCTTACAATTCTGTCACATACAGAGATAAACATACTTCAACCTCAAAACTAAAAAAAAAATAACTGTGCAATTTCACTTACCCTTTCAAAAGCCTTAATGGTGGTAAACTTGAGGTTAAAGGACAATAGATAAACTTCACTCAAACTAACTGGTATCACTTTATAGCTACTGCTTTTCACCACCAGATGACCTCTTTCAATCAGATCTAATATCAGTTTTATGTACAACACACAGCCTTTACTTAATGACACTAGGTGGTTGGCAAACCTATATCACAATAAGAGAAATTTAAAATACTTAAATGTAAAATTATTATGAAAACTACAAAACCAAAATTACTTTAAAACATAGAAAAAATATATATTTTTTATATCATGAAACTATATAAAATAAATATCATTGCTAAGTTGGCTTTCCAGATTGTTAAAAAAATATTAAATGAATGTGTATGGGGTCGGTCCAATAAACAGGCACCTTATGGAAAAAGGAATGTTCATTATAATTAAAAATTTACTATGTGTATCTACATGGCATGTAGTGAGTTTTTAGTAAGATGTACAAGTCTGTTGTACACAATAAATCAAGTGACTTAAAAAGCATTTGTACTCAGATATATATCTGTGAATTGAGAATGTCAGTCTGACTCAAACTCTGACAAGTCAGAAGTGACAAATAAAAATACTTTTGTTTATCCATACAGTTTGCATATTGCATTTGCAAAAATTCTAGAGCCTCCAAAATGCATATCTACAGTTTTACTCAGTTTTCCTGAATATTGTATCTGATATTTACTCTCCTCTACCATGAACTGTTGCTATATCAGATATCAAATACATAAAACTATTTTTAATAGCACTCTGTAAAAGACTGGACATGCATACTTTGACCCATATATATTTATGTAGGATTAAAATAAACACAATATAGAAAAAAAGAGAAACATTCCATTGACATCCTAATTTAGTACACAAAAATTAATTTATTTTTAAAATAAATATTACAATGAATCATGTTATTTAATTTGTTTTACTTCTGGAACATAAGTTATAATAAATGAATAAAAATTCTAAAAAAATACTAAGTAAAGAGATTAAAGTTACTTGAATAATTACCATGGCCTAGTACTTTTATACGTGGTGTATGGTTATTTATAACAAACAACAACATGAATCTCCTATATATATCAAAAAATTGCTTTTGCAAAGAAAAGTATAAGTTTTGCTTAAATCAAAAGTAGAATTCTATTAGGCAAATGAAAGTTGCTAGAATATGCATGTTTATTTTAGTCCAAAGCTACACAATGGACTATCCCTACTCTGTTCATCACAAGGAACTGAACCTTGAATTTTAATGTCATAAGTCTGTAAACTTACATCTGATCTACTGGGGAAAAAAAGTTGCTAAACATATACAATGTTAAAGTTGTCAATTCCATGATCTACTGCAGTTTCTGGTATCAAATATTATATATAAATAACTTTAATACTTCTGCAAATTCTAAATAAATGTTTAAATTGTCAAAAATATATAATTTTTTACCTTGTATGAGAGGCAGCCTCCCCTTGTCCTTTGTTTATAGTTATGTTTTCCCGAATGGAGTGGCTGGATCCTAACCTATACATAATGTAGTCATATACATCACGCTTGAGGTTATCATTAGCTGAAAGTTTATCCAAACAGATTCGGTGAAAAGGGAGCAACTTTGTAACTTCCTGAAAAGCTGTACGGACAGTGATGATTACCTGCAACATTACAAGAATAAAATTCAACTGTGAAACCAAACTGTACTGATAAGAAAAACTAATTTTTATTTAACAGATGGTCAATATGGCTAATAACTTTCAAAACAAAATAAAATTTGACTCATCAAGCTTTGACAAAATTGTGGCATAAAGAATTACATATTGCATTCAAATCTGACAAAAAATCAGTTTTTTTTGCTAAAAGAAAGAAGATATTCTTATTTACTTTCAACCATAAAGGGAATTGGCTTGCATGTCTAGACAAGAAGGAAAATATTCTTACTTACTTTCAACCATAAAGGAAATTGGCTTGCATGTCTAGACAAGAAGGAAAATATTCTTACTTACTTTCAACAATGAAGAAAATTGCTTGCATGTCTAGACAAGAAGGAAAATATTCTTACTTACTTTCAACAATGAAGAAAATTGGCTTGCATATCTAGACAAGAAGGAAAATATTCTTACTTACTTTCAACAATGAAGGAAATTGGCTTGCATATCTAGACAAAAAAGAAGATATTTTTACTTACTTTCAACCATGAAGGGAACTGACTTGTATGTCTAGACAAAAAAGAAGATATTTTTACTTACTTTCAACCATGAAGGGAACTGACTTGTATGTCTAGACAAAAAAGAAGATATTTTTACTTACTTTCAACCATGAAGGGAACTGACTTGTATGTCTAGACAAGAAAGATGCAATTGTATCACCATAATCTGGCTTATGAAACTCGGCTTCATTTAGTCCATCAACCACTAGGAGACATGTGGTGTTAGGAATCTTGCCAAATCTTCTCAAAGTGTTCAACGGTTCAAGAACACCACGGACAAAAGCCTCGGAAGCGTTTGTTATACAAGAAGTCATGCTCAGAAGTTGCTGATACCTGCAACCATGGTGTAACATCAAATTAACATAAACTTATGTAGCATCAGTCTTATAAGTAAAGCCTGACTCTTCATTTTAAACTCACTGTAAAATACAAGTTAACATCCTAATCTTGCAATAATATATATGGAAATTTCTAAGTCCTATATCTGAATTAACCTTTCTATACAAACACTGTTTTATTGCTTCAAGTAACCTTTTAATAGCTTTAAATGCTTTACTTGAAACAAGAACGCATTTATCATCAACATTTGTTGTGCTCATACACCTATAAGTAGTACAGATTTTTGGTTTTACATTAACTTTGCCAAGATACCAGTTGGATTAGTCACTCACCTTGGTTCTTGTACTAAGAATTCTCTATATGCTACCAACTGTGGAGCATGGCAAAGTTGAGCAGCTATGCTATGAACAAAATCTGGAACCAGACAGGTGACATTGTTGTCAACCTGACAGAAATGATATGCTACTACATGACCCCCAAGAGACCGAGCTGTCTCCTGAGTTAAGCTGAGCCGAGACTGATACAAGTAACTACTTCCTCCACTGCCAACTGACATGTAATCACTGCTATCACTGGATAGGATATCTAAGATAAAAAAAAGTTTGTATAATGTTTTATGAATACATAAATAATTATAAACATACACAATTCAAAAATGTAATAATGTTTATAAAACCATAATTGTGTAGAAAACTTAGAAAAAATAAGCAATTAGTAATAATAATAATAATAATACAAATATTATTATGGGAAACATCGTAGCTAAATCTATAATCAATATGCTTGTGAAAAGTTAGATACAATTATGCTGATATAACACCAAATGCATGAATAATTTGGTATTACTAGCACTTTTGCCTATTATGTAAAACTGAATATATACATCATGTATATATATATATAGAGAGAGAGAGACAAATAAACATACAGAGAATTACAATAAAATAATTAAAATCAAACATCATATTTTATCAAAATACATTTACTTCATCACATGTTAAAACTCAATGAAAACTAGATCAAACTTATTAGAATTATGAATATTTAAAACATTCAACAGTAAGTGAATAATAATTAAAATACATTTTCATAGTATATTTATGTATCAAATACATAAAATTTATGAAATAATAATACACAATTCTCCAAAAAACTAAAATATTCCACTAAATTCTATAATACTAAGAATATGAAACCTAAGATACAAGCATAAGATTATAATTTAATGACTTCAATTATGGTATAAAGTATCTACTACAAACCATGGTAAATTGGTTCTTCCCTCTTGGGACCAAACACACTGTGATCAACAAGCTGCAAAGCAATAGCAGTTTTTCCACTACCAGGCCCACCAGATATCACAATCCCACTACTGTTAGAGCTAATAACCTAAAGGGATGGAAGAACTTACAGTAATATGGAAATATAAATTCGTAACTTGGCAAAACAATAATGACTTTAAAGAACTTTCTTACAGCAAATAATCACAATATTCTTTATTTTATAATAAGCTTTCACATACCTCAGAAATGGCCAGATTTTGTGATGTTTTATGTAAAAACAATGCTTGAATATCTCTAAGTATCATACTGTATTATTTTTTCTTTTAAAATTTGATTCATCATAACTACACAGATCAAGCATGAAGGTGATTAATGCTGAGATAGCCCTGTACTTAGTGAGAAAATACAAAATGTGTCAAAAAACTGGTTCAAGTCTTTATAATGGTCAAAATTTTGATAAAAACAAGGGTACCAAACTGATGCAATTTAATCAGTCAAAGTTTTAGTTTTACAACTCATAGTTAGACTGGTATATTTAAATTAGCTACATTATTTACTGGGTTAATCTTTACTTCTGATCTAAGTAGGTAGTTTGCCTGGGTCATAAATTTATAACAAGCTTATTTAGTGGATTTTTTTTTATAGGATGTATTGCATGTTAAGAGATAACAAAATGGTTACCCTTTGTCCCACTTAAGATTTAAACATGATGTAGGTGAGGCACCCACCATGTAAAACTTTCCAGTAATTATAGCAGGGAAATATGGAGAACCACAGGATAAAAACCTACTAAGTCCATTGTGTGGCAAACAAGTAGTTTTTATATTTGGTAAAAAAATATTTTCCAAAAGACATTATTTTGATAATCTTAAAAGTTATAGAATTAATGTTAATATTTTTATATTTTCGATAAATGCATATCTTTATACTAAGGAGGTTGAATAAAAAAATACAAAAAAATATACCCTAAACCCTACCATTTGGATTAAAGGTTTTTCTCGTTTTCCTTTCCTTATTTTTATGATCCTATGTGCTTTTCAAAGTTATAATGAATAATCTTTAAAGAAGCTTCAGTAGCTATAGGAGTAAACAGATTAGGAAAATTTACAGATTCCAAGTAAAATGTTTCAAGTGAAAAGATTAAGAACATCCACTGATTCCAAGCAAAATTATTCAAGTAAATAAATTAAAAACATCTACTGATTCCAAGTATAATGATTGAAGCATCTTGAGTTTTGTGTACTCAAGAAATAATCAAAAAGGTCACTTATCTAAGTTAATAGTTGAAATGGGAAACTTGCTCACTTTATTAATTAAGAGTTTCAAGTCATGTGAAAAGAATGTATCAGTGAAATACAACTTTTGTGAAAAAGTGTTTCTGCAAAATTTACTTTAGTGGCATTATTTCATCTTTCTAAAGAACCTTAAATACAGAAGGTGCTGCCAAATAGATGAATAATTTTTACCAGAATTACAGGCACTCACAATATTTTAGTACTTATTAAAATTCAAAATTAACCATATCCGTCATCTCTCTGCCATTTTCAAACTGTCTATGGTAACATGTTTTACAAGCTATAATAAAAGATAAACAAAACATATTACCTGTTCAATTTCCTTTAATAACCAATGTCTTCCAATAAAAATGGGTTCTGGTTCACTTTGCGGCACCTCAAAGAATAAAGGTTGCAAGGTGACTTGTAAGCCTTTATAGCCATGGTTGTGTCCTGTTCATGATAAATAAAAATGTACTATTTATCTCTGTTACCTTTGTAAATGTTTAAATAATTGTATCTTCATACCTACAGATTATCCTAACAATAAAGAAAAACAATTTATTTAGAAACCATAAAATTGGGGAATATGTTAACATACATGTGCCTGAAAATATAAAACATATTTAACCATTAAATCATTAAGAAGACTTAAAAGTTGTAGAAATGGATTAAGTCTTATTGAAGAAGTGTAATTTTGAGAGAAAGTTAAATTAAAATAATTAATCTATCACTGGACAAGTTCTTTTGGATTATTTAGTAAAAATACGTTCAGTTCAAATTACACTAATGCATTTCTTCATTAATGTTTGTTACAGTCACGTGCACTTGTAAGTTGTAGGCCTAATTTCTTAAATAAACTTTTCAACATAAACTCCACAACTAAATGTTAGCCTCACTTCAAATACAACGTCCTAACTTGATTAGCTTTGATACTGATAAGTAAACAAATATGTCACTTATCGAGTAACTGAATAATAGAATAGACACAAAAACTCTCACTTCAAACATTGAACTGAATCACTCACTATATACTTTGTGAATTTTCATTAACTTCACTAATTGATAGCTTATAATTATAAATGATGTACCTTCGTATCTAGATATTCGATGAAAGAGCTTGATTATTACGTCATTATGGTTAGTAGCCCCTTCTAGCAAACATCTAATTCAAACATTGAAAATTTAGCTTAAAACACTGCTCCCTCCTGGATTGTGAAGTCTCCTGAACAATCCTAGTACATAAATAAAATGCAACACAAGACTGTCCATTTACAAAGTCGTTTTGGTGGTTTTCTTTTCCAACGGTTATGGTAAACAGATGGGATCATCTCTTGTCCCTTGTTGCCACTTCTGGTCCTATCTGTTGGGAAGTTCGCCCTTTGCAAGTGATCGAGCAAGTCCTGTGGTTGTTCTATCTTTGTTGACCCTCTGAAAGTAATATGTCAAGAGCCCTGGGCTCCTCGGCAGGTTGATTTCCACTGATAAATTGTTCTCTGGAGTTACTAGTTGGCCATTGTCTAACCAATGCCCTTCCAAAGACAATCATGGTAGATGACTTTTGACTTGAACTGCCTGACCCTCTGGATTCTTTAAACTACATCATTAATTCTTTTCAGTACAACATATGGTCCTTCTCAACATCTGTTTAACTTTAGAGTTCATCCTTTCTTGTGTGAAGATCGTACAGTCTCTCTTCCACTGCTTCTGATAAGTTATCATACAGCATTATATGAAGCTACAGGTGAAAAACCATCATAATGATGTTTGAGAGATAGCTTAAAAAGCCTGTGGACCTTCTTACTCACATCCAGAGGATAGTCACTCAGTAGGATCTTACACAGACTATGCAGAGGGACTAAGGAACATCATTGAGGATATATATGACTTAACTATGGAAATACTTAAATAAAATAAAATGTCAACATGATGTTAATGCTTATTCTTGATTCCACGTTTTCTGATGTTCATCCATATAAATCGTTAATTGATTTAACAGTTAACGTCTGTATCTCCAGTATGCCACCAAAAAATGAATGAAGGACTATTGTACTGGTTTTTTTAAATGGGCAGTGAGATTAATAGTTTGTTGTTCACTTTCCACCAATTCACATTGGAAATGATTTCGAATTGAACCTGGTATGTTTCCCATAGTACCTTTCCACCAAAATCCATTGTTTTTTCAGTTGGCTGTTGTTGTTGACCTAATCAGCTAAATTCTGGGACTTGATTTGGTAGTGTCAAGGTTGGAGTAGTCCAGAAAGGTCCTGCAGTCACAGATGGAGCAGTAGTAGTGGTAACACATGTAGACGAAATAGATTCTCTTATGCCATATTTAATAGCAAATAGCGTCTTAGGTTGGAAGTCTTAGACGGGTGCAGAAATAGGCGTGAATCTTTGCATTTACCTATTCTTTTTCCAAATGTTTTATTCTGCCATAGATTTTTTCATACTTCTTTGATTTCATCATTACAACTTTTCTGTATTTTTCCAATCTGTACATCTCTAACATATGTGTTGATCTTGTGTTCAGTTTTTCATTAAATTCCAGTCTCTTACCTTTTGATCTTCTTTCATTTTTCTTCGGGCTTATTCTTGACCTTCGTTTAATTTTCTGACTACTTCGTCTTGCCCTTCTTTAAGCTGTTTCATAATTTCTAATAAAGTTCCAATTTCGTTTCTTGCCCGAGTTGATATTATGAAGTTTAGTCAAATTTCTGTTTTATTTTCACTAAAATAATCTCACTTCTGACACAAGAATTGTAACGTTTTCTATCCTTTTTTGTGTGTGGATTATTTGGTAAAAACTAATGGCAAGTCCGGTCCATATGACGATAACGAATCAATTTATTTCTTCAATAAGGTTAGTTACAGCTTTAAATGCAACATCCTAACTTAAGTAGTTTTGATAGATTAGATAAACAAACACATAACTCATCGAGTAGCTTGACAGCAGAATAGACAAGATAAATCGCACTATAAACACTAAACTAAATCAATCACTAAAGACTTCAATGAATTATCATTAACTTTACTAACTGATAACTCGTATTCATGAACAATGTATCCTCTTCGCCAGATATTATACGAAGATTCTGGATTATCACATCATCATGTTTAGCAGCTTCCCCTAGCAAACATCTAAATTTAAACATTGAAAATATAGTTTACAACAAAATGAAATATTGGGAAGTGGTAGGAATGACTTACACAAGTAAGAATCTTCCTCTCAGAGTGGACCTGTCATGGTGTTAATAACAATCAAATAAGTATATATATATATACGAGCTGAAAATTTAACATCACAAATCATAAGCTTACCTATAACATCACATAAGTCTAACTGCATATTGTAAGTTGTAATAAGATACTGTGATCCTTCATAAAAATTTCCTAGATGACATAAAGGATTTACCTCTGATGTCCAAAGCAGTTGTGCTTTTCACATTTTTGTCTGACCGTCTTACCGCCGAGGTGCGTCTACTAAACGGATTATTCTCTCTCGCTCCTAAACGAAAAATGGTACAGTTCGTGGATCAATAACGAAGATTAAGCAAATCATGCTAAATTACTGTGGTATTTTATTTACTCATTAACACTATTTTCATACCGTATTAGCAGAACAATTTATTTTTTATGTTTATAAACCAGAGAGACCATTTCAAGTTTGTCACATTTTTTTAATTGATTATGATAAATTACTAATTTCAAATTTTACTCTACACACACACATATAATTTTCGATAAAATAATTAAAATTCGCTAAGGTGTTTCTCCAGAACTTATGTTATTATGCGAATTCCCCTAGTAATACGAAATATTTATAGACATAAATAATATGTGTGCATTCATTACTCAATTACAATGTCATTGCTGTGGAAACACCATCATTACACGCGAAACCATCACGAAGTATTATTACTTAAAGCTTTAGTTCAGCTGCATTACACTTACTTCCACTAAGCTGGCGATGTAAAATCGCACTTATTGGGATAGGAGATGTACTATTACATGTGCTTGTGCTCATTAGAGAACCAACGCTATCAGAACTTGGGTCACGACTGCTGGTCCTATAGACAACTAATGAACTCAGAACTTCTGCTTCCGAGGATCCTATTGAACAAAAATAAATCACAACAACAGTCAAAGGAAGTTATGTAGCTGACACATATAAAATTCACTTATAAAAACATGGAAGACTTTTTTAATAATCTATAAAAAAGTTAAATGTGACAGATAAAAATATTGGTGTTATTATTATTACTATTATAGAAGCAAAAGAAAAAGTTTCAAAAAGTTGATATTATCTTTCATGAAAATATACCATAAAAAAACTAGGTGTTAAGTTTAGTATTGTTTGTTTGTTTGTTATGAATTTCGCGCAAAGCTACATGAGGGCTATCTGCGCTAGCCATCCCTAATTTAGCAGTGTAAGACTAGAGGGAAGACAGCTAGTCATCCCCACCCACCGCCAACTCTTGGGCTACTCTTTTACAAA